AGAAAATATTTATATTTTACTACCACACCCATTAATTATTGTTATCAATATTATTAATTATTATTTACTTGAATTTATTTAATAATAATTATCACATACAACCATAATACTAATATAAAATTTAAGGGAACAACTAATGTTAAATGAGGGTACCAAAAAATCATCGGAGCTTCATTTTTATTACAAAATATAATTGACTAAAAATGCCGATATTAATATAAAAAATATCATTAAAAAGTTTGTGATGTGTCTATTTTTTTTTTTTTATTTTTTTACCAGCCCCACATCTAAGACTTTGCAAAAGCTATTTCTGAATATGGCATATTTTTGAAAATTGTAAACAACTATAGGCACATGGCAGAGTAAGAAATATTAATTACCAAAGGAGTATAAAGTACAGAAAATACTATGAGATACGTTATGTAACCAAAATATTTAAAGATCACTTGTTTGAACAAATTAATATTTAAGTAGCAAAACTGAGATTATTGTAAACAAAAAATAACTAATAACCACGTACCGAACAGAATAGAACCAGAAGTCACGAGAATGATGTCAGAACAGAAATAACGATTTCAAGAAGTGGCTCGTACGGATTATAGAGGTGGGTCCACAATAATGTAGCACTTATCTCCTGCACAGCACCCTTGCTCCGCATAAAACAGAGTGTCAATGCATCCTGACAGACAAAGGCCTACAATATGTGACCAAACAGAAGCCAATGGTTATTTAATCTTCCCATACGTGACTCCCGTGGGTGTACTTACAAAACATAATTGTTATAAGGTCATAGTCAAATATTCTTTAAAAATTAAACAAACATAATCCCCATTTTTGGGGAGTTTTTCATTTAACAAATAGGGTTCAGAAATTAAAAATGCCCAACGGTAAACCCCGGGGAAAATTAATATAACTTAATATAATTTATAAAACATAACTTGTATAAAATTAAATTATAGCAAATCAGAAAACTATATGTAAAATATATTATGGTAACTCAATGTTATAATATAACTCACCCTAATATACCCTTAGCTTTCTTTACTAACACAACCTCCTATATACCGTACATCATTCCTCTCTTTTCTTTTCTTCTCACTGATTTCCAAGTAATTCCATGGCTTGTTGATTATTCGCTCCATTTTATAGGAATTAAGAGCGCTCTGTGGCCACACGTGAAGCAGATCTTGCGATCCAAATTCCTTTTTCATAATTCACCCAGATTGCATTCATTAAAAACCGTTAGATGTTAAAACTTATCTAAATAAATGATTTAAGATAATACATCTTCGACTTAGTTTTTTAATTATAACTTACAAATAAAATTAATCCCTAATTATTACACTATATCATATATCAATAGAAAATTAATTATTTATTTACTACCACACCCATTATATTGTTATCAATATTATTATTTATTAATTATATTATTAATTATTATATTATTATATTAATTTATTATAATTATATTAATAAATAATATGAATAATAAAATAATACTATAAAAATGTAAGGGACAACTTAAATTTTCGATTGTTACCAAAAACTTTAGGGAAGGCCTACCTTTCTCGGACTGTCCATTTGGAACGCCATGTGTGACCTAATACCTTTGAGTCCATTCCCATTCGTCTAGTGTTTGATCCTTTGCAGGTTGATCTTGTCCTTTCCTTTTTCTGGGCGTCAAAACTTAGATTGGTTAGGGAATTTACTGTAATATCGAAGGTGTTGATGATATAGGACTATCTTTCAAATCTTGGGTTCGGTCTAAAGAGATTTTGTCAACCAGGGACCCTTACCACTTCTTTCCTAAGCATTGGCCCAGTTCTTCACTCTCGGTTCCCATTCTTTGTTTGCCCCGATTGTGACTTCAATGAGGTGGCCACTGCATTGTGTGGTACACCCCGTACCTAGATTCCAAGGGCTTTAATCAAGCAGCATGAGCTTCTTCCCAAGTATCGATTGCTGAATCTCATTGTTTGTGCCAATCTTATTGTCACTACCCATAGCTCTGAAATAAACCAAGAGCAAGGTTATGCCCTATATTGCATTGATCACCAATTGTTCATTAACCTTGCCACCCTTATTCTTCGCAAAATGATTGCCATTCTTGGGAACAAACAATTAGCGTTGCTGCCACGCCCCAAACTCGTCCCTAAAAGTTCGGGCATGACCCATACAGAAACGGACACTTAACCTACTATACGTAATATATGGGGCCTTGGCGGAAGCACTAAAATTTAACATAATAACAAACTCCATTGAGCTACCTCTAATATGCCAGGATCACATGCGTCATATACATTATAATAACCAGTCACAGGCCAAAATTATACTGTGAGCATCAGTCATATAGATATACATATACAGCCCCGGCCCTAAGATTGGGCATATGCAAAAACATTGAAGTCATGTACATTTAACCTTAAATGAGTAATCAAAAAAAAAACAAGACCATGTCTTAGTAAAGCTTCACAAAACTGGGTGATCTCGCTTAGTGCCTGGACTCGTAAAGGTTGACAAAAGGGGACGAACGTCCTGGTTGGTTACCTACAGGAACAGACATATGGAGGGTGAGCCAAGCTCAGTGAATAGTAATACATAAATAAAATACTGCTTAACTTGAAACATTGTATAATAGAAATACACATGGATTCGTAACATCTCAATATTTATTGAACCATAAATTGTGTCTAATATGCTTTGGAAATAAGTGAGGATAGACATACGAACTAAATGCAACTTTTCAAATGTTCCTGAAAATGGGTCTCCGCTCGAGCGGACCATGCAATTTCTGAAATTCTACAATGCCAAGTAAAGTTCCAACCTGGTATTCAAAGCTTCAAACATGTACTTTTGTATACTAATGCAGCATTCACAATGCGAGTCTGAATCTGTTCTTATTCATTATAGACTTAGATCTTATCATGAAACATATTGGCTTGAATATAATGGTTTGGATTAATATCCTTGTATAATGTGGCACAAACCCTTAATCATGGTGGCACGAGGCCCATTAACATAGTGGCGCAAGGCCCTTAGATACTTACCAAGCTTCAAAACATATACTTACTAAGCTTCAAAACATCTACCTATCAATCTTTAAACATATGCTTACCAAACTTTAAAACATATACTTATCAATCTTTAAAACATATGCTTATCAAACTTTAAAACATATACTTATCAATCTTTAAAACATATGCTTATCAAACTTTAAAACATATACTTACCAATCTTTAAAACATATGCTTATCAAACTTTAAAACATATACTTATCAATCTTTAAAACATATGCTTATCAAACTTTAAAACATATACTTAAGCATACAATGCAAAGTCCACATGATTTGTCTGAGTCTGTTTCACTTTATAGGCCCTTTCTTGAAACATATCAGCTTGAACATAATGGTTGGCGTAAAGCCCTTGAATGGTGTGGCATAAGCCCTTAAACATTGGCATAAAGCCCTTGAAAGGTGGCATAAAGCCCTTGAACATTGGCATAAAGCCCTTGGAAGGTGGCATAAAGCCCTTGCAAATTGGCATTAAGAATGCCCTTGTAAATTGGCGATACGAATGCCCTTGTAAATTCTTGTATGAACTCAAGAGGTGTCTCACACGGGTTCTAGCGGTGACTCACAATGTAGCACTTAGTCCCGTGTAGCACTTTGTTTCATAACGTAGTTACTTCCATCGTATGGCCAAAGGACCATAATCTTAAAGAATGAAAACACTTCATTTTTCCTCCTTTCTTTATATACACACATCAAAACATAACGTAATTACATATCGTGTGTAAACAAGGTGTTAATGACAATCATTAGCTATATATATGAAGCAGATAATGGTATTACTACTCACAGTGCTATAACGGAGTGCTTGTCCTTCTCAGGTTATGCCCTACACATGTAAACAACTTATACATTAAGGGCATCAAACACAAATTCCAGAAATACTAGAGGGTTAAGCACGTAAAACAGAGCAAACAATATTTTGCAGCATGAAGTTTCAAACCTACTTCTCCAACTCAATATATATATATAAAAGATTACTAGTCTTACAAAATACATTATGGAATTTATACCCATTCCTCTTCTATTCAAAGAAAGAAAGGATTTTTTTTATGAACATTTCCATGTTCCCCAAAACTCCTTAAATTTCTAGTGTTTCCACTAAAAACCAAACATTTTCCCATCCCCATAAGAAATCCTATTAAATCATTCTCTTGATTTAATAATTAAGCAAGCCCACAAATATTTAGTAAAATGATTTGAGATTAAACCCATTCCTGAAAACTTCACATTTTAGGTCACAAAAATTAATATCAACATAGTCAATACCATCCCACATAATCATCACAATTCAACATATCTCAAAAGGAATTCTTAAATTCCATTTCAACATTCCATAATCGAATTTATATCATCCACATTATCAATAAATCTTTTCCCCCAAATTTCCCCTTTATTAAAACATAATTCACAATGCATTTAACAAAGCTCAATCGCAAAGTTTAAACATATTTTCAAACATAACCAAATTCCAATTAAATTTGAACATATCTAATTCAACCTACCACTTTCATGATTCAACTATCAATTTGGGCCAAATCATGGATTATCATCAAAAATCAACCTAGGGTTTCTAAGAAATCTACAAATTTCAAATAAAATTTTAAATCTTCTTAACCCATTACTTTATATTTCAAATCTTCCCATTTATTAGGCACCCTAGGTCCATAACCCATAAACCATACTCTAAACCCCATAATAGAATCCTAACATACCTCAAAAATTTCGAAATTCCATTCGGTAGAAAGTGGTGATCTCCTCTTATTCTCCATCCTTGATGCAAGATCCATGGTTGATTTGTTGAGAAAAGTGGAGGAAAGCAAGGTTTTGGGAGCTAGGGTTTCGAACATGGAAGAGGGAAGAAGAAGAGAGGAAAAGAAAATCTAAGAAATGACTCAAAAATCACGTTTTTGAGCTGCTGCCCCGCACATCGCCGCACGTGCGCTGCATTTCCCGCACGTGCGGTCCTGCTGCCAGCACAGATATGAAAACTTCAAACAGGCGTAACTCTCTCATCTGGACTCCGTTTAAGGTCATTCTTGTGTCCAAATTGTAGCCCCGAAAATAAGCTTTCCAATGGTTCTAACCTCACATCCAAATTCTAAATGTGGAAAAAGAAAAGGGCAAAAGAGTAACAGCTGATCGTGGGCGATTTGGTCGAATTAAAGTTTTTGGTCCAATCTTACCTCACCATCATATTACCACCACAATCAATACCCAAAAATAAAATAGGGAGGTTCCAAATACACTAATAAAAATGCCACAGATATAAATCACTTTTCACAGAAAGCAAGTAAATACACAGAATAACAGATCAAAAATATACTAGAAACAGATATGAGGGTCGGGTTATTACACTAATGCATGAGAAATGGCAGGTAAACAACATAATTATATATTTGCCATCATGAAAGAGGGTCCAAATATGTGTCCGAGTGTTTAAACCCTAATGCATGAGATATGGAAAGTAAACATCATAATTACATATTTGCCGTCAAGCAAAAGGGTCAGAATAAGTGTCCAAGTGTTCGAACCCCAATGCATGATTAATGGAAAGTAAACACCATAATTACATGTCTGCCATCATGCGAGAGGGTCTGAATAAGTGTCCAAGTGTTTGAACCCAAATGTATGAGAAGTGGCTAGTAAACACTATAATTACATATCTGTCATCATGCAAGAGGATCCGAATACGTTTCCGTGAGTTTAAATCCTAATGCATGAGAAATGGCAAGTGAACACCACAATTACTTATCAGCCATCATGCAAGAGGGTCCGAATAAGTGTCCGCGTGTTCGAATGCTAATGCATGAGAATTGGCATGTAAACACCATAACTACATATCTGCCATCATGTACGAGGGTCTGAATAAGATTCCGAGTGTTTAAACCCTAATGCATGAGAAATGGAAAATAAACACCATAATTACATATCTGCCATCATGCAAGAGGGTCTGAATACGTGTCCGAGTGTTCGAATCCTAATGCACGAGAAACGGAAAGTAAACACCACAACTAAATATCTGCCATCATGCAAAAGGGTCCGAATAAGTATTCGAGTGTTCGAATGCTAACGCATGAGAAAAGGCAAGTAAACACCATAACTACATATCTGTCATCTTGCAAGAGGGTCCCAATAAGTTTCTAACTGTTTAAACCTTAATGCATGAGAAATGGCAAGTAAACACCATAATTACATATCTGCCATCATGAAAGAGGGTCAGAATAAGTGTCCGAGTGTTTAAACCATAATGCATGAGAAATGGCAAGTAAACACCATCATTACATATCTGTCATCATGCAAGAGGGTCTGAATAAGTGTCCAAGTGTTTGAACCCAAATGTATGAGAAGTGGCTAGTAAACACCATAATTACTATTCACCCAAAAAAAAACACCATAATTACATATCTACCATCATGCAAGAGGATTCGAATACGTTTCCGTGTGTTTAAATCCTAATGCATGAGAAATGGCAAGTGAACACCATAATTACATATCAGCCATCATGCAAGAGGGTCTGAATAAGTGTCCGAGTGTTTGAACGCTAATGCATGAGAAATGGCATGTAAACACCATAACTACATATCTGCTATCATGCACGAGGGTCTGCATAAGTTTCCAAGTGTTTAAACCCAAATGCATGAGAAATGGCAAATAAACACCATAATTACATATCTGCCATCATGCAAGAGGGTCTGAATACGTGTCCGAGTGTTCCAATCCTAATGCACGAGAAACGGCAAGTAAACACCGTAATTACATATCTGCCATCATCCAAGAGGGTCCGAATAAGTGTCAGAGTGTTCGAACGCTAAAGCAAAAGAAATAGCCACTAAACACCATAATTACATATCTGCCATCATGTATGAGGATCCGAATAAGTTTCGGAGTGTTTAAACCCTAATGCAGGAGAAATGGCAAATAAACACCATAATTACATTTCTGCCACCATGGAAAAGGGTCCGAATAAGTGTCCGAGTGTTCGAACGGTAATGCATGAGAAATGGAAAGTAAACACCATAACTACATACCTGCCATCATGCAAGAGGGTTCGAATAAGTGTTCGATTGTTTAAACCCTAATGCATGAGATATGGAAAGTAAACACCATAACTACATATCTTGCATCATGCAAGAGGGTCCGAATAAGTGTTTGATTGTTTAAACCCTAATGCGTGAGAAATGGCAGGTAAACAACATAATTATATATCTGCCATCATGCAAGATTGTCCAAATATGTGTCCGAGTGTTTAAACCCTAATGCATGAGATATGGAAAGTAAACATCATAATTACATATTTGCCGTCAAGCAAAAGGGTCAGAATAAGTGTCCAAGTGTTCGAACCCCAATGCATGATTAATGGAAAGTAAACACCATAATTACATGTCTGCCATCATGCGAGAGGGTCTGAATAAGTGTCCAAGTGTTTGAACCCAAATGTATGAGAAGTGGCTAGTAAACACTATAATTACATATCTGCCATCATGCAAGAGGATCCGAATACGTTTCCGTGAGTTTAAATCCTAATGCATGAGAAATGGCAAGTGAACACCACAATTACATATCAGCCATCATGCAAGAGGGTCCGAATAAGTGTCCGAGTGTTCGAACTCTAATGCATGAGAAATGGCATGTAAACACCATAACTACATATCTGCCATCATGCACGAGGGTCTGAATAAGTTTCCGAGTGTTTAAACCGTAATGCATGAGAAATGGCAAATAAACACATAATTACATATCTGCCATCATGAAAGAGGGTCTGAATACATGTCCGAGTGTTCCAATCCTAATGCACGAGAAACGGCAAGTAAACACCATAATTACATATCTGCCATCATCCAAGAGGGTCCGAAAAAGTATCCGAGTGTTCGAACGCTAAAGCAAGAGAAATGGCCACTAAATACCATAATTACATATCTGTCATCATGCAGGAGGGTCCGAATAAGTTTCAGAGTGTTTAAACCCTAATGCAGGAGAAATGGCAAATAAACACCATAATTACATATCTGCCATCATGAAAGAGGGTCCGAATAAGTGTCCGAGTGTTTAAACCCTAATGCATGAGAAATGGCAAGTAAACACCATAATTACATATCTGTCATCATGCAAGAGGGTTTGAATAAGTGTCCAAGTGTTTCAACCCAAATGTATGAGAAGTGGCTAGTAAACACCATAATTACTGTTCACCCCAAAAAAAAAAACACCATAATTACATATCTGCCATCATGCAGGAGGATTCAAATACGTTTCCGTGTGTTTAAATCCTAATGCATGAGAAATGGCAAGTGAACAACATAATTACATATCAGCCATCATGCAAGAGGGTCCGAATAAGTGTCCGAGTGTTCAAACGCTAATGCATGAGAAATGGCATGTAAACACCATAACTACATATTTGCCATCAAGCACGAGGGTCTGAATAAGTTTCCGAGTGTTTAAACCCTAATGCATGAGAAATGGCAAATAAACAACATAATTACATATCTGCCATCATGGAAGAGGGTCTGAATACGTGTCCGAGTGTTCGAATCCTAATGCACGAGAAATGGCAAGTAAACACGATAATTACATATATGCCATCTTCCAAGAGAGTCCGAATAAGTGTCTGAGTGTTCGAACGCTAAAGCAAGAGAAATGGCCACTAAACACCATAATTACATATCTGCCATCATGCACGAGGGTCTGAATAAGTTTCGGAGTGTTTAAACCCTAATGCAGGAGAAATGGCAAGTAAACACCATAATTACATATCTGCCATCATGGAAAAGGGTCCGAATAAGTGCCCGAGTGTTCGAACGGTAATGCAGAAGAAATGGAAAGTAAACACCATAACTACATATCTGCCATCATGCAAGAGGGTCCGAATAAGTGTTCGATTGTTTAAACCCTAATGCATGAGAAATGCCAGGTAAACAACATAATTATATATCTGCCATCATGCAAGAGGGTCCAAATAAGTGTCCGAGTGTTTAAACCCTAATGCATGAGATATGGAAAGTAAACATCATTATTCACCCAAAAAAAAAGAAGTAAACATCGAAATTACATATTTGCCATCAAGCAAAAGGGTCAGAATAAGTGTCCAAGTGTTCGAACCCCAATGCATGATTAACGGAAAGTAAACACCATAATTACATATCTGCCATCATGCAAAAGGGTCCGAATAAGTGTACGATTGTTCGAACGCTAATGCATGAGAAATGGCAAGTAAACACCATAATTACATATCTACCATCATGCAAGAGGGTCCGAATAAGCGTCCGAGTGTTCGAACGCTAATGCATGATAAATGGCAGGTAAACACTATAACTACATATCTGCCATCATGCAAGAGGGTCCGAATAAGTGTCCTATTGTTTAAACCCTAATGCATGAGAAATGACTGGTAAACAACATAATTATATATCTACCATCATGCAAGAGGGTCTGAATACGTGTCCGAGTGTTTAAACCCTAATGCACAAGAAATGGAAAGCAAACACCAGAATTACATATCTGCCATCAAGCTAGAGGGTCTGAATAAGTGTCAGAGTGTTCGAACCGTAATGCGTAAGAAATGCAAAGTAAACACCATAATTACATATCTGCCATCAAGCAAGAGGGTCCGAATACGTGTCCGAGTGTTAAAATCCTAATGCCTAAGAAATGGCAAGTAAACACCATAACTACATATCTGCCATCATGCAAGAGGATCCGAATAAGTGTCCGCGTGTTTTGACCCTAATGCATGAGAAATGGCAAGTAAACACCGTAATTACATATCTGCAATCGTGCAACAGAGTCTGAATAAGTGTCTGTGTGATCGAACGCTAATGCATGAGAAATGGCAAGTA